TAAAATCCAGAAATCCAGCAAGAAGTCCAGGGTGAGTTCAACGAAGGATGAATTGTAGAGCTCAAGAGGTTGAAAGCAATACTGAGCAAGATTTGGAGCCAGAGCAGGCTTGGGGAGGGGAGTGTGGTGATGTAATGACACTAGACAAACCGGGATTGGCTAATGATGTCTGTTTGATCCACGCCTGTTCTGAGTGGAAGAGGTAGGCACCAGACGTTGAGATTATCTTGAAATTACAATATAGTAGATTTCCATGATTTCCGTGATCATCACATGATAGCACAATTGTCTTATGATACCTGTGCATGGCACACCCTTTCTTGTGCAAAGATAAGTCTGAGTGCCCTCATAGTTTAAAGTGTGTTCACATTAGGTACAAATTGTAACATCTAATTCTGGATTAACCTCAGTGGAAAGTAAATTCAAATCTGTGCACAGCATTGAACATTGTCAGGAACTCTAAATCCATAGTTCCAGCTGAGCTATTGGTGATTGCACAATGTAACTGGTTGTTCATACACTCAAGCAATCAATGTTATCCTGTAATAACAAGATAATCTGCTCTCTTGTAGTAACAAGATAATTCTGTTGGAATTCTGAGATAAATCAGGAATTCTTTTCCTTGATAACACCAATGAGTTTTTGTATACACGCTATGATTATGTCCTACATTTTTCCTACCTAAAAGCAAAATATTAAATGTATTTAACATTTAATTCACCATGTAATCATCCATTTCTTAGTAGTCAGAAACCTTTATTGACATAATTCTATTGTCCCTTAGTTTCAGACATCAGAACATGTCTTATTTGTAATTAACATCATACTTACAGCACTCCTACCAACAGTTGAAATTTGATGAATTACAAATAATGTAAACACAGTTTTTCAGATCAAATCTTAAAAACCTATTCTTTATTCATTTTGTTATTTGGAATTTTGGAATATGCAAAGAATAATGCTTTTAAATGTATCCCAGCTACTCCATATTCCAGTTTGCCAATAGTTGTGCACAGTCTATGTTCTCAAAAAACAAACTATGATTTGTTAAGACTTAGCCTTTCTGAAACTAAATATGATCTAGTGTTTGACAAAATAGCACAGATATGAACACATTTTGATTTCTTGATCTCTGTGTTTCCATAACTCCAGAGCTTTGCTCTGATAAGAAGATGCTGAAAATATAGAAAACACAAATGTTTTGATTGCTGTATTAATTACCTAGAGCAACGCAAACTAAAGCTGAAAAAGTATGAGTTATGCTTCTTGATATGTTTTCCCAGATAATGGGGGAGAAATTGAAATCTCCCATTATCAAAATATCTCCAACACGATATTCTTCAGCATTACATCCTTAGGAGGTTTTTCTCTTTGAAAAGGTGGGTTATTATATAAAAGAAAGCTTGGATTTCATTACAAAAGAATGCTATGAGAAACATGATGCTGTCAAAAAAAGGACAGATCATATTGATCTCCTTTTCTTGACTTGTCAGTTCTAAACATGTTAATGAAAAATTGCCAGCTGTAGCACAAACTTTATTTTTCAGATATGACAGCTTTAAAGATTGTTGATAAAGCTTGTATTAGGGTTAAGAACAAATGTGGTGGCATTTTCTTCTTGTTTAGCCTCCCACTGTGAGATCTCTCATGGCACCATAAAGTCAAATGACTACTGGAGATTACAGACCAGGTAAGCCATAGGAGGCCAGAGAGCCTGAGAGATTGACTGAGACTTGCTTGCCTAAGTTTGAAAGCCCACAGCCAAAATCATAAACAAAGCTATTTTCACAAAACGGATGCTTTTTTTCAATATCCTACGTCAATCTGAAAGAATGCTTTGTATTTGTATTGTTACTCTTAGACTCTTAGATGAGGTTTGTGACACTTGGAAGGGCAAACAGCTCTGAGGGGCCCCTTGAGCAGAAACAATTGTAAAGTTTCTCTTAGTATACACAGGTAAGGTGTGGGTTAATGATTGTAAAGGAGCAGGACAGAAACAGACAATATAAGATCACATTAAGAGCACAGAAAAAGGGAAGGAGGAAGGAAGAACAAGGAGAAGAGATAGGAGTCCAGAGGAGTTGGGGCTTTAAGTTGTGCCAGGCAAGAGCCCTTACTTCATGATCATCCAAACCAAACCTGACTGCAGCTAAGTATTTGAACCTTGTTAGAGAGAGCATGCTATTTGTTAGGGAACTTGGGTAAAAGATACCTCAGTTAGAAACATCTTTCCTGCTTGGGGTGCATTTTTATGGACAGGGATATAAGCTCCCATTTATTTTATGGCATCCGGGGTGCAGAGAGAGATTTAACTGCAGGTTACTTTTTATTTTGATAGAAGGCAGCTCATCTTTTGTGTGGCCTCGGTAGGCAAATCAAGAGGTTAATGCTTGGTAGTTGTCTGGGGTTTTCTGGGTGACCAGAATGGTAGAACTCTGAAATGCCATGTTTGTAAATACTGTACATAAAGTAACTTGTGAGTCATATGTTGTGTGTAGTGTAGTTTGTGTTTTGTCATTGTAATAAATATTTGTTTTAACCAAGTGTGCCTGGATTATTACTCCTCTCAACAAAGCTGTGCCAGAGAATAAAGAATTCATGTACCTCCAATTATACCAACTGCTTGGGTATATTGATAAAGTTGGGAATAATTATTGACTAAACCGCTCGGTCAAATCCTGATTTTCACCAGTTTCGTAACACACCATATGTAATGGTATTTGTAGTAATTGCATTTCCCTGAATCTGTCCAGTGTTTTTCATGTAGAAAGGTGCCAAGATGTACAAAAGGAATCACTCTACGTACAACACATACATGGATGTAGCCCCCAATACAACACATACAGTACATGTATGTAGCCCCCAATACAACACATACAGTACATGTATGTAGCCCCCAATACAACACATACATGGATGTAGCCCCCGACAGGGTGACATGTGACAGGAATTCTGCAACAGCTGCTGACTTAACAGCAGATCCTGCGGAGAAATGAGAAATCACTTCTTATTTAGGCAGGCCAGATTGAGCAAGCCTCATATCGAATTTATACAGGAGACTGGGGTTAGCCCTGTACTCATTACAATGTACAGTGCTATGTTTTTATGACTTCATTTAGAGAGGATTCAGTTGAACATTTCCCCATGCTTAACATTTTCCTCAGGTCAGTGTCACTGTTCACCACACTGGGACATTGGTCTGGATTTTCATTGCCCAGAGGAAAGCGTGCCAATTTCCGGTCTGCCGACACCACTCCCAGATTCTTCCCGATTTTACTCGGAGGTCTCCCAACTCAGAGTTCCGAGATCCGACTGGACATTTAGACAGGCAAATATTCAATCCATTTCATGGTGTGGAAAAATCCTCCATTCTATATTGTAGTGTCAGCAAGCTAGACTCCGTGTTCAATCGTAATACTCATACATTCCCAAGTATGAATTTATCTTTAAAATATTAAGACCAATTAAAAAAACTCCACAGAAAACATTCGTCTTGGTTAAGGATAAGGATAGTTCTTCAAATGTATTGTGCTACTGTAAGGTGCTGTAAGGGATAAGGAAAGAGAACGGGGTGCATCAAAATCAAAATAAATGGTAAAATCCTGATTCAGAAATTAGCCTTCCTGTTTCATCTGCTTTTCTTGGCTTGTTTCTGTGTATAGCTCCATTTTAGGGCACTCAGAGCTCTTTATTTGCTTGCAATAGCTAGCAGACTGCACCTGGCCTGACATCAAAGGTTCTCCGTGTCTGATCTGTCCACTTACCTCCTATTAGGTTTATTGCATTAAACTATTATCTGTCTAACCAAGGTGCCTGATGCCTGCACAGATATTATTCCTCTGATAGTTTCTTCATACAGCACATTGGAATTCAATGACATTTTAAGCAATCTCTGCAGTAAGACAAGCTTTGTTTTACATCACTTTTTTGTGTTCATATTTTCATGTGATGTATGACAAACAATTTGAAACTTTGTCTCACCCTTGAATCTCAAATTGGAAACCCGACACTTACAATATCTTCAGGAAGAGGCCCTTGCCTTCAACCCAGATAAAATTGGTCAAACAGCTTTTAACTTCAATAGCAGTGGTTAATAATAATAATAATAATAATAGCTTACACCTATATAGCGCTTTTCTGGACATTCCACTCAAAGCGCTTTACAAGTAATGGGGACTCCCCTCCACCACCACCAATGTGCATCCCCACCTGTATGATGCAACGGCAGCCATAGTGCGCCAGAACGGGGAGGAGAGCAGAGTAATGAAGCCAGTTCATAGAAGGAGATTATTAGGAGGCCATGATTGGTAAGGGCCAATGGAAAATTTGGCCAGGATGCCAGGGTTACATCCCTACTCTTTTTGAGAAACAGCCTGGGATTCTTAATGACCACAGAGAGTCAGGGGTTCGGTTTTACGTCTCATGCGAAGGACGGCACCTGTTTACAGTACGGTGTCCCCGTCACTATACTGGGGCATTAGGACCCATGTGGACTGCAGGGTGAGCGCCCCCCTGCTGGCCCCACTAACACCTCTCGCAGCAGCAACCTTAGTTTTTACCAGGAGGTCTGCCATCCAGGTACTGACCAGGCTCACACCTGCTGAGCTTCAGTGGGCTGCCAGTTGTGAGTTGCAGGGTGATATGGCTGCTGGTTAAAGAATGTATTTGGCCCACAACTCCATCTGGTGAATGAATACATTTTGGTTTCTTCAGTGTTAGACCTTTGAAATATCTACTGGAGAAATTCTGCATTTTCACCACAGCAAGTCCAATATAAGTGGACCGAAAAAAGGACTCCAGAACAAAAAGCAAACTGTCGCGTTTTGAAAAAGTTTTATTACAAATGGTGTTAAACACTGCACTTTTCTAAAAACATGTGTTTTTTAACTTCAGTGAATACAATTACTGATTGATTTTAAGAAATAAGGCACTTCACAAACGTTTCTCTAAAAGTATACAAGCTCAAAATGAACAGATACTGCTGCTGTGCTCTTTACTTTAAAAAGGTAAACATCATTCATCCCGTCAGCCTGACGTTACTCCAACAGGCCTACATCTGAAAATGAGTTACTGTACGTGAAATTGAGACATACAGCTTTAATTTTACCTCCCTTTTTTGGTTTGCTTTTTTATTTTAGAAAAGGAAAAGCCAAGTGGGGCCAATGGCAACAGTGTGGACAACTGTGGCTGAACATGCAGCAATTGGATCAACACTGATAACTATTGGTTTGAAATCAAGTTTGCGTCTGGTAACAGGGGGGTACATTTCATTTGAGTCAACAAGGGAAGCTGTCAAACTCCACTAGCACTATCTTAAACAGGGCGTTATTTCACACACTCAAGCAAAATCAATGCCGCTAACATAATTCAATCACCTCAACTGCAACTTAGAAATACAGGTCTTTGGTTGCACTGCACTGCATTGATCAATTCAGATGTGAGCCCATTTCCCCAAGACCGACAGACCTTCCCATGTCTGTTGAGAGCCCTCGGCTACATCCGCGTTAAGGGAGATCAGATTATGTTGAAGACATGTCATCGTGTTTTAAAATCTTCTTTTCAAAAAAGCACTAATTATCACGATGCATAAAGTATTATTTAGAAACTTGCAAACCAGAAAACAGTGGTTCACATCCATAAAAAAGCAATAAGATCCATGTTGATAATTTCATCATCAAACTGACCATGCAATATAAACAGTTTCGTACAGATGACATAAACAGAGGTATAAAAAGCAAACCTTTTGTTGTAAATTTGAATCAGTAATACACCATTTGTCTCTTTCTTAAAGCAGCAACTGCGATGGAGGTTTTACTGTTGTTCAAAACCATGGTAAATGATTATTCTTTCTACTTTGGTTGAAAACCCATTCCAGTCCATCAGCTGTACAATGTCTACTAATCACCGGGGGGAGTACAGAAGCAATGTCTCGTAAGGAAAGGTCAATTTTGAGATTTTCAGGTATTAACTGCAACTATTAGAATCACAATTCTCTCAAAGAGCAACATATCTCTGTTTTAAATATGAAGTTAAACTCTGCAACACAAAATTATGTCAGCAGCTTCCTTAAAATAAATGAAGAATCAAAACTCTTTAAACATGAGTTTTACTTTTCATAAACATTAATTAAAAAAAAAGGTAACAGCTGCACTGATAAGGCAGTAACTAGCTACCACAAAGCTGGGCATTTAGGACAAAATAAAGTGTGTTTTCAAAATAAACAAATGCTGGAACGCGTTTTTGTTTCCTAGCAATACTTTACAGTATACTGTACATGAACAGAAGAAAGCATATGTATCTCGACCAGTTGTTACTTACTGTAAGTCAAGGTATTAGCTTCAACAACATGGCTGGTTTCTTATTCCATACATCCACAGCTCTTTTTCCCATTAAAGCCATTTTTGAGTGTTTTTTTCCCCCCCAAAGAACACTGTACTGGCAACTACGGTACCTGCCGTCCAGCCTAGTATAGTTAAGGATTCAATTAGCTTCTCTTCACCAGTCTGCTCTGACTCTGACCACTGTCTCTGCCTCTTGTCCTAGGTAAAAGGAGTCATTAGGATCTACATTTTCTTAATTCATTCATTCTCTGCCTCTTGTCCTAGGTAAAATGAGTCATTAGGATCTACATTTTCTTAATTCATTTTGAAAACAAAACAAACACAAAAAAGCAAACATACAAACAAGGCAGGAGGGATGAATAAACAGGATCTGAAGGAGATAAAACATCCCGTTACACTTTCAGTTTTCACACCAGCAAAATGTTATTGAGCCATATGTATTTCCAAAAGATCAGTTCTAAGCCAAAGCGAACACATGCAATTTAAAGGGATCTCAGTCTCCAACCATACCCAGAAAATGGATTTGCTGGCTGCAGTTAAACGTTTGAACAAAATACGTTGTGCCTGAAGACTGAGGCTCTATAGTGTACTCATCAGGGCTTGGAATTGTCCCGGGTCTCTACTAGGGAGCTCAGCTGTGTCTGCCTCGACCTTCATAACCAATTTGCATTTTTTAAACACCAAACACAGGCTTCATAGCAAAACATCACATACAAAATACAAAAATCACCTGTTGGATCATTCAACAGTTACTGTAGGTCCCCCAAGCTAAAAGCAGATGGCTGTTTTCAAAGCTCATTGTTATTAAACATATCAAAATATAAAAGTATTTCTTGAAACTTGCTCTTCATTTGTCTGAGGTTAGCTTTATTTAGCCAGCTGAAAGTTACTTAAAACACAAGCCAGGTGTTTAAATACTAATGCTGCTTTCATGTCAACTAATACTGTTAATGTACTTTATAATCTAATTTAATATCTTATTAGAAAATCAGTATAAAATTCGTCCTTATCACAGACATTGAAATAAACAATGTAACCTTTAATCATCTTAGACATAAAAGCTATTCTTTCTGTAAAACATGGTTCTATAATTCCCCTCTAATTACAACAAATTACTGAGGGATGCTAGGAAAGCCTAAGATGTAGTTAAGTAAAGCGTGTTTACATGTTCCATTTGTAAATAAAAGAAAAATCTTCATGGCTCCTGTATATTTCAAGCTTTCGCTTGTTGGCCAGTTTACAGTAAGTGTGAAAGCACTACACCGCAAAGTTAACAACTACACTTGGTAGATATGTCCTTTTCCACTCCTCAGTGATAAAACGATTAAATGTTTGCCTTCAGATTTTTTTTTGTGAGAGCATCACAAAAGTATTCGAGAAGGTTACATTTAAGGATGCCTTGGGGTGTATCACCGTAACATCTAAAACAAAATATTGACTATAAGATGACAAAAGCAATGGGTAAGTATCCCGACATTCTCCCTTGATTTCCATGTGACTGTGTGCCAATCCATTTTCTCTGCTTTATATACACTTTAACTACCTGCTTTTCCAAACTCTTCCTTCTCTGGCTCATACTTTTCTATTTAAACGTCACTGAAAAGCCTGCGTCTTTCTATGAGGAGCTGGGATAAAGATCCCATAGATAAAGTTACACCGAGAGGTTTTGAGGTTCATATGCTACTTCTCACTTCAGGGCAAAATTCCCCAGCAGCTTTATCGCAGCTTCGGTCTTGACATTTGGAATACCATCCCAGCCCCCATCCCCAGGGCTCCCGAAAAACCAGAGCTTCCAAATCAACCAGCGAGACTCTTTTTAGTACTTGTATCAGTATTTTGCTCAATGTAAGAGGCCCTACTGTGCACACAATTGTTCAATTGTGGGGGAAGCAGATGGGGGTCATCCTGAGCCCACCCCCTTCAGAGTCAGAGTCATAAAACATCCCAGCCTCCTGTGTACGAGTGGTAGGCAAAAACCCGCACTGTTGTTCTTTCGTTCAATCACAATTCTACACTATAAACGCATATCAAACATACGACCCTTTCCAAATTCAGTAACAGGAACCAAAGGCCAGCAAAGTAACCAGCTGTCATGCTAAGGGCGCAGGCAGCTTGTGCTAACTGCCAGTACACGGAGCTTCTCACCAGGTCACCACTCCAGATCGCTTCTAAAATTAAACCTCGGGCAGCGATGAGGTAAAAACAGCGGCTCAGGATTAAGGCGTTGAAAGCCTGCGCGGTTATTCTCGGGGAGGCCGAGACGGCACACACCTGATGTCATTCAACCGAGCGGAATCAGAGCAGAACATTAATTTAAACCAGAAGGGAAAACAAAACAAAAAAAGGCGTTAGAGGTAGCTCCGCTTCTGGGGGCTTTCACTTCACGTCGCCTACGAGCACGCTGCTGTTCGGACCGGCGCTCACGATGTCGTCGTACTGGGGGGGCGGGTCTGCGTCCGCGGCTCCGGCTTCAATCCGCACCTCCACGCGCCCCGTGGCTTCCTCGTACGAGGGAGGGGGGTCCCCGCCGGACAGCCGGCCCGGCGTCAGGTCCGACGGCGGGGAGGCGTCCGGGTAGTAGCACTGGGGGCCCAGCCGGTCCATGGGCTCCAGGGACAGGGCGCGCTCCGGCCGGCCCGGCCCCTCCCGCCGCGGGCCGAAGGCGGAGCCCCTCTGGAAGAGCTTGCGGGAGTGGCACCGCCAGACGGCCACCAGCACGATGACGATCAGGGCCAGGGCGGTCAGGAGCGGGACCACCAGGTAGACGGAGTGGAACCGGCTGCTCCCCAGGTCCAGGCTGCTGCCGGGGCTGCTCTCCCGGACGTACTCATCCCAGAACACCCTCTACGGCAGAGACAGAAGAGACGGGGCGCTCAGCCGCTGGCGGCATCGGCAGCTGGATCGGTGTTACAGGAAAAAAAGCCCTGCTGCACAACAGGGTGTGCCAGAACAAACCTTGTTTTAAAGCGTTTTAAATAATAATAATAATAATAATAATAATAATAATAATAATAATAATAATAATAATAATAATAATAATAATTATAATAATAATAATAATAATAATAATAAATATAATAATTGCTTACACTTATATAGCACTTTTCTGGACACTCCACTCAAAGCGCTTTACAGGTAATGGAGACTCCGCTCCACCAGTGGATGATGTGATGCAGCCACGGTGGACCAGGACACTCCCCACACACCAGAGAACAGAGTGATGAAGCCAGTTCAGAGATGGGGATTATCAGGAGGCCATGATTGGTAAAGGCCAGGGGGAAATGTGGCCAGGATGCTGGTGTAACACCCCTACTCTTTTCGAGAAACACCCTGGGGTTTTTAATGACCACATTAATTCCTGAGATTCCTGACCTTGGTTTTACGTCTCATCCGAAGGACGGCACCGTTTAACAGTATAGTATCCCTGTCATGATACTGGGGCACTGGGGCCCACACAGACAGCAGGGTGAGCGCCCCCTGCTGGCCCCTTTAATACCTCTTCCAGCAGCAACCTTAGCTTTTCCCAGGAGTCTCCCATCTAAGTTCTGACCGGGCTCACACCTGCTGAGCTTCAGTGGGCTGCACTGCATAAGTGGTGGAGGAATTGCTATCTCTCTCGGAGAAAGATCTGAATCTGCTATTTTTTCACGTGCCTTGTAACAAGATACTGAGTTCCATCACAGAGTGGGAGAACATTGCATACCCTGGGCTGAGACACAATTACCACAGTACTTTTCAATATCAACGTGTGTGTGTTTAATTGCAAGCATATGCAGGATATATTTTTAAAAGGTTTGTTTTTAAATCAAATTTATTTTTTTTTGTTCACATTAGAAAATATTTGCTCAAACATCACGTTTTGATTTATCTAGACATTCACAGCGATTCCTCAAAGCCCTGACTGGCACACGTACAGTAAGCAACACTCATGTGTGGGGATCACCTGCCAAAGATACAGGGGCTCTTCACTTGTACTGAAAAATGGATGTGAAACCTTACAGGCTAGCCTGCACACAGAGCTTAAATTAGCAGAGATAAAAGTAACTGGGCCTGGAGAAGCACACAGCCAACAATACTATCTGTGTGGACTTGGCACATCAACAAATAAGCTTGCATTCCAAACTCCACTTCGTGCCAGGAGCTAAATGCGATAGTGATTGTGTGTGCTGCTGCCAGGAATACTCCACTGGGTCTCACTGGGTTTAACCTGAGCTTCACAAAAGTCCTCAAAATGAAACTGTATGGGGAAAAAAAAAAAAATCGACCATCCTCGGAAAGGTGACTTTGCGGCTTCTAGCGGCACTTTCTGTTGCAAATCTGTTATCTTAAGTGGAAGGTTTTAAAACAAAACAATCCCAGTTTCACACCACAGAAGATAACTGATTTTTCTGGTTTCAGATGGGGATGAGAAAACATCTAAATGCACGTGCTGTGTGTGAGGGAACCATCACCACTGTCAAGGTGAGCAGGAGCCCTAAATGACCTCAGAAAAGAAGTCATTTTCCAGGTAGAGTCTGAGTCTGAGCCCCCCCCCCCTCGAAACACAATCACTCAACATGACTCACTGTCTTCTCATCGTTTTCAAAGGCCTCCCTTGCCTCTTCGTACGAGCAGATCTCTTCCCTGCACTCTCTCTGGATGTTTCCTTGCTTGAACTCCTCCATCAAGCTGTTTGCTCGGGGGAACCTCTTCAGCAAGGAGTTGGCTTGGTTCGGCGACAGGAACACTGAAAAGGTTCAGAGACACACAGCTGTACACAAACGGCAGGAGATTCTAGGCTCGTGGCTACTGGACAAAACAATCAACGGCACAATCAAACTGTTGAAAAGCTGGAGCCATTCCATGCACTGCTGTTTGTCTGGCAGACATGTGGCTTGGACGTTTTGGATTTCCTGCCAAATGTGTGTCCAGCGATGAACTGAACGAGCTCTGATTAACATCTGCAGTGACTGAAACCCCCCTGTGATAAAAGGTTAAAAAATGCATGTATTGCAAATAGCAATTTAATATTTTCAGAACTACGGTGTTACTATGCAATAGGAAAAGTGTGCATTACTAGCTGAGTGAGCTCAAAGAAAACTCTTCAGATTTGTAAAACCTCTTAATCTGTGGTGCCTTTCTCATGATCTCCTGGTTTGTTACCCAAGTGGGAGAACGGCAAGGACCTGCTGAAGCTCACCTCACCTTAGAATAAACAGTACAAAATCTGGTCCCATACAACACCAGTCTGAAATCTAAGTGCTTGACCAGTGAACAATTTATAAGCACTGACAATTCCCCAGTTCCATTCATTTCCCTCTTAACTTGAGGGATATCTCCGGGGACATTGCACCGATATGTGAAGTCACTACGTTGAGTGAGAGTGAGCAACACTGACACTCCTTAGATCAGGTAAAAATAATCATCTGCTACTGTTGTAAATCCCTCATAACCCCCATGAGACATTGTTCATATTACTGCTCGTGAAATGGAGGACAAGTGTTATTGTATTGGCAAACTCTGCTGCCTTAGAGGCGAAAAATAAAACCTAAAATGATAACAAAGGGGAGGAAATTGCATCATACTATAATTCTTGAAAGGACACAGTAATGCTCTTACAATGTAAAACCAATAAACCTGGCTTGTGTACTGTGTACCAAAAAGCAGGTTGTAGTATCAGCTACAGCTATTCCTTCATTTTTAAGTATCACTGGTGGTGAACTAATAAGCACTGAAACTAGGGCAGGCATCTTACTGATGCTACATGTCAGCCCTTACATAAACATTACATGCTCATCTGCGGCTCAAAAACCGTCTAACCTGCCACTTAAACCTGCCTGCTGGTAGCCACACCATCACTTTCTACATTTGTGGTTTCTAAGTGTAGCTTGGGGTAGAAATAAAAGTCCCCAAGGAGTATTTAAGGTTTTGAAATTAATTTGGTGGTTGAATCAACGTCCTGCCTTTGTCATGCACAAAACAGAAATGCTCAGAAAATCGATTCCTCACAACCCTTCATATTAAATACTATGAATATACTATGACTATTAAACTATGAAATACACTGTCCCCATAGGCAGTGGATTCCTCAATTCCCTCCAGAGAGAAAAATAAAAATAACTTTTAAAAAAATAAAGAATTTTTTTTCCACTCCAGAAATGCCTAAAGACCAAAGAACAAATCATTTCAAACAATGCAACTACTTTTCTATCATCTGGCATGTCTTTTAAAAATTCCCACAACCCTACATTTGCATACATAAAAAAATATCAGAGGAACACCCTGAGCCTGAGTTTGATGGAGAGTAGAGGCAACAAAGCAGTCTACTGTTATTATATCCTAATCGTATGCAGGAATACCAAGATACACAAACCACAGATACTGTATGCTGCACTGTACACTCTTGGAAGTGCTTGAGATCCAGAGTATGCTATAATTATACAATATGCAGCTGAAAACATTCTGCGAAAGTAAAGCTTAAATTCTCACTGAAGGGCTTTAAGGCACTGTGATTATGATTTTCTGCATATTTCACACAGCTCCGAGTTACAGTGTTTTAGAAAAACACTAGCATAAAGCCAAAAGTGGAACAAATCTGCTCATCATCTAAAAAAAGCAAAAACAAATTTTAGGCTAAAAGGTTATCAGTACTCAACAGTCGCTCTAAATGAGGAACACTGCATAAATTATTCACAGATGAGCCTTGCTTACCACTTCCCATGATGAAGCTCTGTCGCAGCTCTGTTCTGCAGTATCACAAATTCACAACCTAAAAAAGCAATCGTGAAAAACAAAATCAGTAATGTACACTAATCGTCTCGTGCAGTCAGATTTGCAAAGCAGTTGGCTATGTGTAGGATGGATGGTGCTTTTTAACGAAGCAATAGCATTACTGACTATGCTACAGTAGTTATACTAAAATATACCCAAGCAGGTTTGAATTAAAGGAATTCATTCAGCCTCCAACAAATGTTGGTAAAACATAGATATGAAGACAATGGGAAATTGCTATACCCAAAGTAGTGTTCTTCTGTGAATCTAACCCAACTAAATGCTACTTCAGGCGCATTTAAAGTAGCCCAGATTTTTTAACTCTGCACATCCCTCATCCCGCACAGAGAGGAAACTGGGGGCTCTACCTCAATTAAAACCAATAAGTGACAGAATAAAAGTACCATTTTGCTTCTCCTCATTACTGGCTTTAAACACCATTTGCCTAAATAATCAGAAAAGGTGAAAGAAAACTCCTTTGGCCTCTGCCTTCTACCAGACAGCACTAATTCAAATGCAGTTTGAGTAATTAAAAAAAAAAATGCTATTCAGCGGAAAGTTAATTAATGGCGTTTACAACAGAAGCTTGGGAGGAAGGTTAGATCTAATCTCACCCTCTGGTCTCCCCTTCATCTGTCTCGCATTTGACATGTGCGGCAGTCAGAGACAGACAACTCTCTCACGCTTGCAGCTGTGAAAGCTTACCTTAGCCGCTCTTGCGCTTTTCTGCTGCTGCCGGTTGTGTGGCTCAAATTTCATCCTCCTTAGCGCGCGCCACCTTTCCGTGCACAGCTGTATTCAGCGATGCGGCCATTGTTTGCCCTCTCTAAACTCGGGCGGGATTCGGAGCTTCCTCGCCAACTCGAGCAAGCAGCCCTTCAACCTCAGCCTCCCTGAAGAAAACACCACAGCAGGTGCAAGGAGCCGGGTGTTTTCCCTTTCTTTAGGCTCTCCTGACATCGCCTCTCAGCTGAGCTCCGGAATAACCACGGCCACTTCTCCCCTTTCAGTTCCCTCTTTAGAATTTGCTGCTGACCTCTAGCGCCCTTGTCTGAAATCTCTGCCCACTCACCCAGCCCCCACCTTCTGTCCTTCTCTGGTCTAGAGTCCAGCCCACCACGCCTATGGTCCCAGCCCAGATGCGTTGTCTCATCTCGCCCTTTTTCCCGAATCCTTCATTTTGCTGTCCCCGCCGGAGCCCCCCCAGTCATCAGTTCTGCCCCGAGGGTGTCAGAGCGCATGGCGTTAGCCTGCACTGGGTCCAGGAATTCCTGTTTTAACAGCTTCACTGCCCGGGCTGCTATGAGGGAATTACGCCCCCCACACAACGTACCCCTTCCTAAAGCTGGCATCCAACTGACATGGTCTGGCCCTCAAACCCCCCACCATCGGGCAGCCTCTTGCCCGATATTAAACAGAATTAGTGGACAGTCTCTAATTTTTCATTGAACACCTTGTACAGTAGTTTAAAATTTGAACTTTCATTTTTTTTTCTCCAAAAAGCAACAAGCATATGCAAGGAGGCCATGAAGACATACTCCGTGTGAATCTATTTCTACACCATATTAAACTGTTTTGTAGATGGAAGTTTGCATTATGCATTTAAAAGGTTTTGACTGTCTCTTTACCATGATAGCCTTAAGCTTATACTTAAGGACAGTTTTTTTTAAGAAATTCTGTAGAAATTCAAAGGATTTTTCTGTTCAATGAAACAATTAAGAGAAATGGAAACAAGTATTCCACAGATCATGCTTCACACTCCAGTGACTATTTCAACAAGTGTTGCTAATATCGATATAGTCATCTTTTTTGTTTGCAAGCACAAGAAACTCCTACAGTAGATGCAGACTCATTAGCTGCATGTACATATTCCAAAGAGGCTGTGTGTGAAGGAAGCAAGCACCTTGGTTGACAAGCACATTTATATGGGCGATATTCTGGCTCAAAGCAAAGCTTCTGAATGCATCAATAAGCAAAAAGAACGTTGGTTTATAAAAGTGACCAACATGGCAGATTCCTGCACAGACATTAGGAAGGTAAACTAGCTCTTGTACATATTCCTGCTAACATTCACATTAAAACCAGATGCATAATGAAAGAAAAAGAGAAAAGGTCCGTTTCTGCTGCGATATTCTGCAACGCAGAATTAGGTCAATAGAAGACTGAAAAATTGTTCATGATCTGCATTTACGAGACTTGTCAGCTTGTGACATATTCTAATGGCACAATGCGACTAGGCTTAGTTACATAAGAAAGAGAAAGTTTAGCAATAAAAACTTCCATCTACAAAGTCTAGACGATTTATGCAATTAAAGACTATCAAGCAGACAATGTTTTGATGTCATATTACTTGCGACATTGCGATTGCATAATGTGATACTTAAGTCGCCTGGAAAAGGACAGGAGGAGCCTGAAACTGTGGGGGAAGTTTTGAACTTCTGGAATAACCACATATTGGTTTCGTTAAGCAGGGCAAATTACCGTAATCTTTGATTAAACCCCAAATAATGGACTGCCTGCATGTTAAGCTGCCCTCTGCTAATTTTCAACAGCAGGACGGAGATCCCTTGCTGTCTTAATGCTGTAAACTTTTAGTGCTGTTGGCCTGTTTTTCCCCCAATCATTTCATTACTCCTACAAGCAACGTTGTCCAGCAACCTCCCCATAACAGTGACATCACTGAAACAACTCCTGACTCCTGTGTGACATCACAATAGGTGCCCCAGACAAATAAAGCTCATTAGAGTGGTCAGGTCAAGAGGTCTTATCTGTGACTTGAGCGCTGAAAGGCCGACAGTACTAATTCTTCTGTTCGAACAAATCTTGTTTTTCTTACCTTAGAAACTTAGAAACAAAGCATCTTTATTTTCTCCCCCCTACAAAAAAGGTGAACTCAAGCCTGATACGTCTTTAATACATGTATACATTTTGGGGATCTTTTGTTAGAGATCTAGGAAAACAGTTTCTGCAAAACATATAGTGGTTCAGGGTTTTCCCATTAGAAACCGCAACTCAATACAGAATACACTGTTTGCATTGTGGACAGTTTAAGACACCAGGAAGCAAATATAGATATTTTTGGCAACACAAAAACAGATGAACAACCTGGACAAGTGACGTTAATGTAAAATTCCTACTTCTGAAAAAAAGGTTTGTAGAAAATCCCGAGGGCAAAAAATAAAACTCGTCTCTTGCTAAGAAGACCTTTCGAGATCGCAACATCTACGATTTTTTCCTTTCAAAACCCGTCGCCTTTCACAAGAGACATCTGCCTGTCCGAATGACCAGCACCACATCTTCTGAACACGATCGCTGCACCCGTCCCGATGTCACTGCGTTTGTTGTTCAGTCGTTTCGACAAAATCGTGTGCCGCGGCATTCAGGAATACAAAACACTTTGCTTTTGACTGTGTCATTGTCAAAAACAACGACCAGATTTCATTTGACAAATCCCCCAGCACTGCCCGGCCCGTGCGGAGCCGACTACACCTTTAATGGGCAGAACTTGATGAATTCTGACAGTGCCACTTCGATTATTTCACTGCGGTCAGATGACCGCTGTCAGGAAATGTTTATGACACAGAGTTCAATAGAAGCACCAATTGTTCAACAACATCACAATGGGTAGGCTAGCCTTTGTTGGCCGACTGCCCCGCTTGTTGGAGGAAATCAAACACATAACTACAATAAACGGCACCTGATGATTACTCCTGCCCACACCGTATCATTTTCAAGCGCTCTATAATACAGAAGTATCTCTCTCTAGCTGCTAACAATGTTAATAATGATGTTTGACACGATTGTCTGCTTGTCAGACATCAAGAGACTCCTCACAGAATCACTGCAGACCCTCGCCATGAAAACTGCAGCGAGTCCTTCCACTAACGAAGACACAAATACTGATTTTTTTTTCCCCCACGCGTCCACTAGCGTTTCTTCCTAAAGAATTGGTTTAAACGATATCGAAACTTTACCTCTCTCGCTTGGATCCGAATCTTCCCAGTCCCATTCCCAGCCTCTGAAAACCCCACGCATGCTCATATCGCGGTCTTTTAGTTTTTGTGAAGCCCCCCCCCACCTCATTTAAAGGGACAGGAAGCTGAGAGTTTCTGTCGACATTCATCAACTCGCTGCTAAAAACGATGTGGTGCGCGAAAGCTCATTCAGCGTAGGGCCTGGAGTGATGGAGCAAGGGGTTACATTGTATGTAAAAATACAGACATACCAAAAAACAAAATACAGAAAACAATCTCACGGAATGTACGTACTGTATTCAGCCGTGAACCCTATGTAACGGCACCCCGATAATCTCATTAGAATGATTATTATGAAACACATCTACTGTAAACGTGGGAAATCCATGTATCAAACACGACAAGCCATGATATGAACAGGTCTGTGTGTTTTCCTGCCATCGTCACTGTCGTTTTGTTTCTGAAGAGTTCGAATTCCATTGACGACGACTAACATTCCATTGTTACTATGAGGATGACGCAACCACCAGAAGACTGTTGAGCGGAGACTATAAATAACTTTCTCACGTCCTTCAGTTTTGCAGAAGCCGCTTGTTTGTTTGTGGCAAACAAAACGTAAATCGACAGGGTAATTTAGATAGAAACGTTAACTCTTTGTAACGCTCACCTGAAACTGCTAAGAGGTAGGTTATTCCCACAATGAAGGATCTTATAGTTGAGGTTAAAGAATCTGGTATCTTATAAAGTAATAATATCTCTAACCATGATGTCTGTAGAAACTCTGTATTTTTCTCTATAGTTATAACAATGACAAAGTCTACATTGCACTATCGTGTAACGTCACAGTAGCTCATGTCTATCTATAGCCAGCTTTAGCTGAATGGAGAAAAATGTACTGAGATGAGAGATTCCGAGTTTATTTTTTTCCATAAAAATATTCACATCTGGACCTTACGGTGCATTTTTATCAACCTTCCTCTGCTGTTTTCTGTGCTGACAACTTGTCCCGATTTTATCCTGAAACAACATGCCAGTGTCTGAGATGATACTGTACATTGAGCATCAGGAGAAACTCATAACGGAAGGTATCAATTGATCAAAACATCATTTCTGGACACTGATTAAATGATCTTTGCATTTGTTGTCTGACCACGATACACTAGAATAACCTTGATTCTAGCGTAAGGACTAAATTGCCTCATTAGAAAGGCAGCTGCTTGGCTGCAGGTGACTTATTCTCTTGAAAGGCGCACCTGGTGAAACTCCACATGCCTAGACGGGACCAGTTTCATCAAGAGAACAGTGCCTTTGGTTTATCAGTTTGTTCAAGCCTGGGCCAAGTCACCTTGGGTGGACTTGCCTGCATCAGAGTTTGTGTAAGGCACCCTGATGGATGCCAGCGAATGTGGCACAGAAAATATGCTAAAGGCTGAGTACAACAGAGCCATCAATGGGGATATCTCTAGAATTCTAACAACTATAGTTATAAAAATAAAAATATAACTATACAGTACCAAGTGTGGTGTTCTGGGCAGGAGTGTGTAATCTCTCCTGACCTCCACTTTGTGTGGTGATTGATGGGCTTCTGACTACACGGTGCTGCACTGATCAAGAGCTGCTGCTGCTGCCCTTTCCTGTGAGCTCATCCTGACTTGACAGCATTCCAGTGGGAATCCCCACATCCCCGAGCTGCCTGTGTAGCAAGAACATGGGACAGCTAAGCCATGAATGCCCTACTACAGCAGAACCTGACTGCTTTAGACAATGCGCTAAATGTTGAGCACAACAGACCAACATCAGCTCATCCCAACAGATGAACAACACAGTGAACACATTGGACAGAATCCCACAAGACAGCATCTGCATCCTGATGCAAAGCATGCGTCACAGACTTGTGACAGCTTGTGTTGCTTCTGAGGCAGGCCACCTTCAATGTACACACCCTGTCGAGCATCTCTCTTGATCACAAATGTTAATCAGCAGGATACATGTTGCCTGTGCCTATGTAACATTAGTTTAAGTGTCAGTGCACCTACTGCAAAAATGTTTTCATTTTCCCGATACATTATCTCTTGCCTGAGGGCAGTGGGGTGAAGAGCTCATGCCCGGGGTGGTGACTGTCCTCTGTCATGGCCAGAATTCTACCAGCGGTCCGCATAGAGCTGTTTAATCTCTATGAACTCCATAAAGGTATAAGGTTGACATGATTGTGTAAGACGACTATAATTTCCTCCTTCAGTACAGCTCCTCTTACTTACTGTATACATTCATGTTAAATGACTAGGTCTATGGTAAGTGAGGTTCTAAAATTTGGGGATTTGTTTGAGCTGGGAGAAAGGGCTCAGGAATGCAGGCACTCCTATAACTGGCATGCAGTAATCAGGAACGCTTTTCAGATAACGCAACTGGCCAGTAGTTACTAATGATGCCTCCTGCTTTTCCCAAGTAAACTGTTCAACATTTATGAAAACCACGTTGAGAAAAACCTGAATACAATTTAAGTCGAAATGCATAAGGGTGTTCCTAAGCAAGTACAGTACATAAAAACATGAACAATGACCTATTTTCTAGAAATACTCATGGTTATAACATGTTGATACACGTTCAATATAGGTAGCATATTGCATAGGTCTTCTGCATGTCACGTCATAAATCTTCTGTGATTGTCGTTTTTTCTTCTTTAATTAAAGTACATGCCACATAATGCTGCAAAAATATACAAAAAGACGTACTAGTTACAGCAATAAAAAAAGAACCAATCGATGAGCTTTAGAGAATAGCTATGCTCGACACCTGAACTCCCAGGATCAGCACCATTGAGTGATAACGTATTACATGGAAGTAGCTGATTAAAAAAAAAAAGTATTTTATTTCTCACTATATTAAATACATTTCCTTGTCCTCCCGAATGCCTAGGGCAGACATTTTCCATTATGCAAAATTATGTGAAGATTTCCAGTTATGAATTAACGAATTATTAGTTTATAATTTTTTTAAAGGTTTACCTCAACAAATACAAAGTAAAAGAAAAATTCAAGTAAAAGCCCTTCTTAGACGGTGGTCTGCACCGACGATCAGAAATGAGAAGTTAGAGAAGTATTTTAAAGTTATAATGACAACGCCCCCTAAATTTGTAGACACGGGTTACGTTAATCTGTCTTTGCACACCTCAAATTTTCTACTTTTCTTGCAGCCCTACATGCTCAACCTCTCAAGCTGGTCTATTCTAAACCGCATGACTGTGTAATGTCAAGGGAAATTAAATTAATTTTAGGTATCAAAATTAATTAACTTTAACGCCCCGCCCCGTTGTAAATTGGCAGTCTGCAGTAGGTAGGGACTGTGAAAATAAATGTGAAATAAAGTTGGTAGAAACGGTCGAGCCTTTTTCTGCCGCCAAAAATGAAATTAAACACCTGTACTCACTGTAGTAATATACTAATATACTATAATATAAGTATATATCAGTAATATATAAGTAATATACTAATATACAGTACTGTTATAATGGTCTAATGTACCTGTACTGTATATGTAAAGTAAAAGCTTAACTTTGCGTGCGCGGTCTCCACCTGGTGGCAAAATCGGTGCTTCCAAACCTACAAAACTACAAAACTGTTTTCTCGTTAACACTTACGGTCTTGTTTGGTATCAGTGCATTCGTCATTAAAGATAAAAAAGAAAACAAAGACAACACCAATTGTGCTTACAAATGCTATTAAAAATTAATATCTAAATAATAAATAAAAATATATGTACATGTTGTTATGAAGAGGGAAATTTGTTGTTTTTTTTGTCCCGGTGAAGATGAATAGGTGGCGTTGCCTAGTAACCCAGGACGCTGCAAACTTAAAAGCACTTGGAAACGTGCACAGAGAGGACACCGACGTGCACTGTTTGATATAAAAGATATAGTATAGCAGTATAGCACAGCCGCATTCTTGTTTAACCTCGAAACCGAAGAGGATGGAAATGGAGGCTGATGTGTTAGGCGTGAGAATATCTCCTCCGTTTGTGGAGTTTTTGGACGCCAAAGCCGGACAATTGTACAAAGCTTCCGTGACAGTTCAAAACATCAGCAAATCTGGCAAAAGATTACGAATACACGGACCTCTGTCCAAGGTATAGTTTTTTTTCAACTTGTCAGATCTATCTAATGCCCCATTTATAAGTCAGGACGGTAGAAGCGTTATCACGTAGCACAACAGACATTGTCTTTGACAAGGAAGTTGCATAGGCCTATATATAATTAGCAATAGCTATAAGATAATTTGCATTGTTTAATCATACCGCATAACTACATGTACAGTAAGTATCTTGCATTTTAAAAACTCGTCTCTGTGTTTTCAGCTTCATCGGCTTTATATTTCACTGTTAATTACATGGCATTCATTTACCTTGCGATACTTTACTTTTGTCTGATTCCTAAAGGTTATATTTTGGACACGAAGGTGGAGATGGAGCATTTTTGACTGGATTGTAACGTGTAATAGTGTTTAACATGTAGGCTAACTCTTAGGCTCCGAGAAGAGACTAAAAGCAAAATCTGTCTCATCAGCTCTTCAGGTTGACGGTGTTGAACCCAGACAAACCTGTTGCTCCCGGACTGTCCCTGACTGCAACAGTGGAGTACTCTCCGGAGACAGATGAAAACAACAGAGACAGATTGATCCTCCTATCCGAAGAAGATGTCATTGAGATCCCTGTTTTAGCGTATGTGTGTCTGTGAATTTTATGGCCTGTTGTATTATCAGTGAAAGAGAACCAATTTCTCCAGTCGAAACACACCGTAGAAAAGGCTCGCTTCACGGTGTTGCTTCAATTTGATAACTCGTTCTCAGGCAATTTATTTATTTTTCGCTAGATTTTGCCCGACCTGTTTTCTTGAGATGGACTTGGAAGTTGACTTTGGCACCGTGGTGGCAAACAGTAAGGTTATCAGCAAGGAGATTGAAATTATGAACCACGGATCTGCACCAGGTAATAGAAGATGCTGCATACAAATATTTTCAAAATGAGTTTTATTTACAGTACACTCCCGATACTGTGCTCCCGCTTTCACTCCGATCCACAGTTTTTCAGCAAAATATACTTTAAAATATATATCTTAAGCTTTTGTAAGTTTATTACAATTTTCGCCCTTACACCCCTCCTGTAAATTGAAAAAAAAAAAAACAACTTATCCCCTGCTTTGCCTTTCCAATAATATGTATCTATTTATATCAATCTATTCCTATTAATATTTATTATGATAGCCCTTTAGGTCTTCCTAAATTAATTTTCAGAAACACGTCTAACAATTTGGTGGGTACTACTTTACAACAACAAAACTGCTTTAGTCTTCTCTGATAGATAATATCACAGAGACAGTTATGTATATTAATAATTATGGGTCAGCAACTCTGTCAAGTCCCACCTCATTGAGAGTGCAGAGTATCGTTTGGGATTAGCTGTTCCTTGAGAACATTTTCGTAAAGTAATCTCCATCTACTGCGGGATTCTGTTGGACCCTAAACTATTCTTTTAATGATTTAAGACTATAAAATGATGTATGTTTGTTCATTGATCATTCTGTGGTTACGCTTCATACATTCTGCCTCTGTCATTTACTTTGACACAAGGGCCTGGACCAGATCGAATGTGGTTGCAGTGCAAATAGTCTTGTGTACATTTACAGTAAAATCCTCCAAAACACAGGAGACTGGTTCTGTGCTGCCTACAGTGACATGCCCTCCAGTTCGCATTTGCCGGGAAGAATTAGGGAAGCAGCTTCAAATTGTGATCCAAATAACAAAAAAAACCTCCAGTCAAAAATACTTGCTAGGCCCTTGACCGATTCACTTATAGTTTTATTTAGTACAGCGTTAGAAACCACAACTGAACTTTCAATCAAATGACTGTAACTGTGCTTAACAATTCAAAACATGCAAAATCACACAATTCTTGAATTCTGTTATTAAGATAATGCAGTGAGGTAAGCAAACTGGGACGTGGAGTAAATGAGAGTTCGGTAGCAATAAAACACTGTAGACATATTGTGCACGTTGGATAGAGTTTGAGAAACATACTGCATTTACCACATGTAACTCATCACTGGGTAACTCATGCCAGGGTGGCCAGACCACTGTGTTTTAAACACTGCCAAAATATAGAGCCAAGGTACAGTAAGTGGTGGTTAGCTGTACAGCTGCTGTATCATATTTTATTCAAACGTTCTTTATTGGTTGCAGACTGCTTAAATTGAATAAGAGTACAAATGGCTTATTTTATTCTTTATGGCATTAGAGTTTTCAATTTGTGATTGAACACACGTCTTCCACTCCCAAATCCTGCGGTGTCTTCTATTTTGGAAATGGAAAGAATGCTAACCACTATCATGATCACATCATTATGATAATCACATTGTCTTTTTGTAGACCCATCACATTTGTATTCACTACTGACTAATGTTAGTTAAAATCCCAATTTTGCTACCCAGCCCTGCAAAATGTGTCTCTGTTATTTTTGATGCAGGACATGCTTTTGTTTTAAATTTACTGTAGATTGGGACACAGAAACAGATAAGTTTTCATCGCTTCTCACGAATGATAGATGTGATATGGTTCAGAACACAGGCTCTTCTGGCCTTATTTGAAATTTTAAATTGCTTAAAATGATTTTTCATAGTCTTGTCAATGAAGTGTTTTGTCCAGCTTATTTTATCTGATTTGTCTTAATACTGTATCACTATAGGCACATTCAAAATCACATACAAAGGGGCATCACCTATCACCATTGTACCCACCAGCGGAACTGTTGAGCCTGAAACAATTCAGAAAATTAGAGTTGAGTTTTGTACACATCAATCAAGGACTGTCAATGAACAAGCAAGGTAGGTGCAAAACG